TATGAGCAATTATCTTTGATGGCGGACAGGAATTTTTGGACCTTATAATTGTAGTCTTAAAGTTTTTTATTGTATACATATTATCAAAAATAGGGACCAAAAAATCTTATCTAAAATCTCGCCACCTTCAAAGATAATTACTCATATATATACAGCATTATTATTATTCCACTTTGTCAATTTTCTGATTGTTTTGTTTGTACTGACGGCTTTGGATATGTGTATGCATGAGCTTTTCTTTCCACTTCTACCGAATACTTTAGACCCAATTCCTTATTCATTGGAATATACTTTCTCTTATTGTAATAGTTTGCAACTTTGAACATTGCAAATGGATTGGCATTATCAGATACTTTCAGATAATATTCAAATGCCAATTTTCTATCTTTCGCGACACCATCACTATTATACAGGCAATTTTCGTATTGAAACTGTGCAGCCCCATTCTGTGGGCAAAGAGAATCAGCAACTTCTTTGAATAATTGCGCAGCACGCGTATAACAATCATTTCTCATTGATTCTGTTTCTAATGTTTGATCCACTGGCATGGGATAATTATAATACAAATAAAACCCAATCCAGTATTTCGCAATCATATTTCCATTACTTGCATGTTCTTGGAAAAATTTCTATGCAAGTTTTTTGTTTCCATGTTCTGACATGTGTTCCTTTAAGGCATCTTCAACAGTTTTAGCACTGTTAATATCATCTTCTTTAGAGTTTTCTTCAGGAGACTTAGAAATGTTAGAATTGATACTGGAGTTGCCTTCTGATGAGATACTGTTTGTGTAGTGTTTATAAAGTTTCTCTAAACTGACAAAGAGGTCGATAAAATTAGGTTGATCTTTTGCATTCGTTTGAACAGCTATTTAGAGAACAGAGGTTATAAAATTGTTCAGCTTCCAAAAATCAAATTATGGCTAACCTTTATGTGTTAATTTTTGATATTTCATGGGAACATTTGTTTGATTACTAAATCGAGCACGATTTTCCTCATTCTGAGCTCTATCTCAAATGGCTACTATATCACTTTCTATATCGTAATACAGAATATTTAACTTGGCAATTTCCCAGAGAAGCATCCCAAAACTAGGTAAAATAAAATGTTGATTAATCTCTGCATGATATATTAAATATGTTTAGCAGATAAACAAATGATCGATTTTATTAAACAATACCTATAAACTTTGCACTTGTAATTATAAGAAACATTTTTTTTTGGATGTCCTCCGAAGTTGTTGTGTCAAGTATCTCAGGTGCCATATACCGGATGTTATAAATGCCAGCCTTAATTTGTTTAGTTTTGTTAATAGCTTCTTTCGATAATCTTTTTTTTTCAAAGAAATATAAACTGAATCAGCAAATTTTTATTACATTTTGTTGCACAATACAATCAAACTTATCTGAAATTTCCTATTTTCACTTCCATGTTTTTCAACAAATATGTTTTCACTTCTTACATTATGATGAAGTATTCCAACAATCGTCAGAAAGTTTAGTCCTCTAGCAATATCAATAGCAAATTCCAATTTTTTTGCTGTCATCATTAACTCTTTATGTTTAGTGTAAAATTCTTTTAAAGATCTGTATTCAAGCCATTTGATAACTAAATATTGACAAAAATTACCGTCAATAATTCTATTTGTAAAGCCTATGAATATTACGATATTCGGTGATGATTTTAATTTCTTTAGAATCTCAATTTGTAATGAAATGTCTTCGTTTAATAAATGATCCTTTTGCATTTCAGCCATTTCTTGTTACGTTTCAGTTGTATTAGAAGAGATAGGAATAGCGTTGGGTATCAATTTAAAGGCAAAAAGCTGATGATCCAAATTTTGTTTGCGAAGTTCAACTTAGTTTTGGAAATTTTCTGTATAAGCTCATAATTCAAAATATTAAGTGGTTCTGGAGGCTTAATGTCATAATTTTTATGCCTCTTATAAGCTTCATTCACTTCTTGAATTTTGGTTGCTTGAAAGATATTATAATTAATTATTTTCAAATATTAAGAGAATAAATATAATGAAGGTTAGATACTGTATCCATAAAAATATATCAACATATTTTAATTATCTCTTCCATTTTCTCAATATCTTGTTTTATTAATTTTCTTTCTTTTCTTGCCTGGGTATTTGTTTCTACACTGATAACGAAATGCAATGTTTTCATGTACATTTCAAATCTACTTGTCAATTCTTTAAAATTCTGATCAATGAGCTTAGCATTAAAATATTTTTTCTATCTTGTCACCTTAGACACTTCTTTGCAAAACTTTCCATCTCCTTCATACATTTCATTAGATTTTTAATGACTTTAATGTTTTTCTTATTAAAAAACTCCATCTTCTGATCTCTACAGATGTGAAGATATTTGATGGAAGCTTCAGCCACGTATACACGATCAAGAATGGCGTCGCAAATAAATTTATTATGTTCAGCGGTTTTGTAAATGGATATTATTGATAGGATAATTTCACATGCATCGCTTACAAACGGAATGAATCTTTTTATTAATTCATTATTAGCCACTGCAGGAAGAACTGTAGAAGCGGCATCTGTTATTTTGGTCGTAGCTCCTTCAATAAAAGTAGTGGTTAATGTTATTCCCTCTATATATTTATTCTCGGGATCTTTTGAATCTCGAATAGGCGAATCGTTATCCGGGCCCTCAAGAAAACTTAAAGATGAAGACATAAGTGTTGAGGAAGTAAAACTACTAGAATCACTTTTAGATTAATCATTTTTATTATTAGAATTTCCAAGTTGTGGATTTGGTAATGGCATCAAGAAATTATTTTGGTCCTGAGTTTTAGACTTTCTATCTTGTCTACAAGTAAGTTGCTTGAATCTTTGTTTCATTAATGATATTGTGGCTTTTTGAGCTAAATTTTTTAGATGAGCAAAGGACA